CACAAGGTCCAGTGGTCCTGAGGGCGAAATGGAATTTTCTTTGGAAAATCCAGCCGTTAGGGCGATGGATTCTGTGGAAGTCATGGGACTTGGAAGACTAATGGAGGAGAAACGATGTATTGGGTCGAATGATGGAGCGAAAGATAACGAGGGAATCGAGGTCAGACAGAGCTGGAATGCGGCATTGAGGGCGGCTTCGCGGCGCGACGTAGCAGACTCGGTGCGTAAGACGCCTTGCGGCCATTTCTTTCACACTGGCTGTTTACGGCGCTGGCTTGCTGTGAAGGCTGCTTGTCCACTCTGTATGCAGCCGATAGATGTTATGGCAGGTGTGCATTCTTAATTGAGATAATGATTCTTTAGATAGGAAGGCAGACCATTTATTGCATTTTTACGATTTTATATTTTTTGATTCACAGATTTAGCCCTTTTTAATCATGATTAGACCTGCAGTATATGCCTAGGAAGTTTAAAATTAAAGATTAACTCCGAGAAAATTTGTTTCTCCACTCATCTATTTTACAGCACTGCCCTGGCTCATAGAAAGCAACTATCCGACTCGATAAGGATGCTTAAATACTTGAATCTAACATTCTAAGTTCACAGGCTAATCAACTTCTCTTGATGTTCTCATTAATAAATACTAAAGCAGGCCTACCAGAAACAAACTAACGCGTAGAAGTTGTTTGACCTTGTTTTTGCAACTTGGTCACATTGGAAGGAAGACCTGGAGGAACGCACTTTATCCGGAGTCCATAGCATGCATGCTAATTTCCAGAGTTTGGTTGTGGACTTAGTACATTCCTAGACGTTTCGTCGGCATCATCATTGAGCCTTGCCAGTCTTCACACCATACTACAACTCATCAGAGAGACACTTGAAGTTGATCCTTTGACAAATTGTCTGCTAAACATTTGTGGTATCTCTTCTGTCCTGGGCTATTTACCTATCCTATATCCTCGTACCACCTCTTCATTATCACAATTTCTTACTTGCTTATTTGGACGTGGTGTGAATGAGTTTCTCAATTTTATACCATCTTGATGAACGAATTTTTTCCAAAAAGGAGATGGGGGAGAATGAACGACTACCGTTCCCGGATTTTGAAGAAGACAGGATTAGCGAAATCTTTGCATACGGCGAGGAAAAATAATATGTTAAAATTATTTTTATAATTCGCTTTCGACATGCAAAATATTGAAATATTTGATGCCTTATAATTATCAGCGAATCTTCTAATAGCATTTTTTCTGGCGAAACATAGATGACCTCGAGATCAATACCAAGGAGCTATAACGAACTTTCTTTTTTCATTTATTAACTTGGTGATTTTTAGAATTGGGTAATTCTAGAGCGTTTAAATTTTCGATCTGTAAAGTGTTACCATTTCCGGGGGAGTGCGCTTGTCTGATTTAATAATTGGTTCCATTAACAGATAATTTGAAAATTGTAATAGTACCTAGTAGCGAAATTTGTCCTTCAACCAACGCTTGTCTCTTGGCAAGCTCATTGAATATTCTCTGTAATATAGTTAACATGCTCCAACGGGACACTCATGAAGAAACTATTCAGAAAAAAATCATATGCCGGAAGAGGATGAACACCATGAAGAATTAATATTAATTTTCTCAACGGATCCAAAATATTAAACTGGCAGGGACAGAAATGTTGGTAAGTTTTGACCTAAAATCCATGCACACAAACATCTTAGATAAGAAGGCAATAACCGCCCTGCTGGAAGTCTTGGAACAAAGAAGAATATCCTGGAAGCAGAGCGGATACGGAAGGAGTCGTTGACACGAATAATCAACCTGACGGTAAGTCAGGTTCAACGGGAATACCTACGGGCAAATATTTGGACTATTGGGATCTCCACTCTCACCTCATTTGGCAAATTCATGCATGGAGAGGTTGGAGGATGAATTCGCGAAGTCACCGACGCATCCAAGAGGGCTAATGTGATACAGGGATGACTACTTTGCACTTTGGTCGTATGAGAAGAAAAAATTTGGATGAGTTCCTCACTTGTATAGACCGACTTGATGGAAGAATTAAGCTCACAATGGAGGTGGAGGAGGATAAACGAGTATACTTCCTGGATGTTGAGATCATTCGCTCCAACGGAATACTCAAGAGGAGGCTATTTAGAAAGAAATTACATGCCGGAATAATCCTCAATTTCCAGTCTCATCACAACTACAGTCTAAAGATCGGAATAATAAGGAGTATGATCAACAGAAGCTTTAGACTAACGGACGATGAGTTATGGAACGAGTTGGAGAAACTGACTCTGATTTGTCTTAGTAGCGGATAACCGAAGGAATTTATGAAAAGAAATATAGGAGTCGTAAGAAACATATTTTAACCTGGATTTTAT